TTTGTGACTTTTTTCATGGGGTGCCCGTTGGCCTGGACGTCGAAGAGGCAGGGTTGTGTAGCGACTTCAACGTGTCACGCCGAATACATGGCGCTTGGGACGGCTGCAAGAGACGCGGTTTGGTTACGGAATTTAGTGGGTGATGTGTTAGGGGCGATGGGACCAGTTTCAATGCACTGCGATAATACTTCGGCAATTCACGTCTCAAAGGATAATTCATCGAACAAAAGAACTCGACATACTGAACGTGAATTTTATTACATTAATGAACAACTCTTTAAAGGGACAATTACCCTACACTGGGTTGAATCCAAGAATCAAAAGGCCGATATTCTCACAAAGGCACTGGGCCCATATCTGTTTGCAGCGGGGAAGAAGAATTTGTGTTTGGAGTGATGATATTTTCAATTTTATGTTTTGTTTTTTTGTTAATTCTGTGTGGTGTTCTCTATTTTGTTTTCTTGTTTTTTTTCTCTTTTTATTTGTTAGCAAAGGAGGTGTGCTGTGGCTGGTCGTGGGGGGGGTGTTATGTGTACACGACTGCACCACAGCAGGTCACGTGATTGTACAGGTGTTGTAGTCATATCTTGTTCTACCCGGGCGGAAGCTTCCTCTCCTCAACCACTGTGGAAGCTGAAGTCCGGGAGTACGAACTAACGTAGTTGTCGTCCTATCGATTATAGGTAATGAATATTGAACCACTGTGGAAGCTGAAGTCCGGGAGTACGAACTAACGTAGTTGTCGTCCTATCAATTATACACTTCGATTGCAGATTGTCTGGGACCTAAAAATCCGACAAGATCCTACCGGTGGGCCCCAAACATGGAGAGACCTTGAACAACATCAAGCTCACCATACATCAGCAACAATCAACTGATACGTTACCCAAGACTTTGTACTGTTCAGCGCTTCATACATAGACAACTTAATGTTCATTTGAGGCAGTGTGTCCGCGGGCAATTTGTGAGCTTTTTCTAAAGATACCTGCGCAAACTTACCTGTCATGACACCGCCTAGCTACTCCAAGCACCACATGATTCGCATCAATGACTCGGACGGACACAGTTCTTTTCGGGCGGCAGTCAACGTCGGGCCAGTGAAGGCAAGTATGAGCGTCGAATGATCGTGGAGCCATTCTACAGGCATCTTTGCATTCAAGACGGGATCCAATGATCGATAAGGTATGTAACGACGTCCTGTTTCGCCACAACTCATGAATATCTGGCAGTGGCAGTCTGATAGAGTTCAGTAGGAGGAAATTGGCAGTTGAAATCTTTCACATTTTTCTTGCACAACTATGTGTAGAGGGAAAAGGTTATTCCGGCTATAGGGATAAACCTTTTACCCAGTTTAGTCCAGAGTGATATCCCTGCCGTGTCTTGGAAAGCAACTTTAGTGTGTATCATTCATTCACCACTATCATCTCCTGATCACTCCCCCTTCCTGATGATTTTTTTTCTGAAAAATTGCCACCATGCAAAACCCTTCTTTTGACTTCTGACAACATTGTCAACTTGATTAAAATATCATACCTACCACTGGGTCTTATTTCCCCAAGCACTCCACAGCAGTCAACTCTTGATGTAGACATATATTTCCCAATTATTCAATGAGTGATACATATTTAATCACAATGCTTTTTCTGAACCAATCCAAGATCTTTGGGCCCATTTTTTGTTTTAAATGGACCACAGTGTAGTGGACTACTTAAGGTCCCTGTAGCAGTAGGGTGTAGTCTGACTTCATAACCACACCACAATTGTGATGAAGTCAAGCGTATTCTTACCCAAATCTCATACTATGGTACAGTCACCCCGTAGTGGGCCGTGCTGGAGCGGCCGTAGTCACTGTAGGCTACAAGTACACAGTGCTCAAGAAGAAAAAGAGCCAGGTACCATGTTTCACTATCAATGTATTTTAAAAACCAGAAAGAGAAGGGCTTAGAGCCATATAAGATGAGATAATCAAAAAAACTCATTCATCAAACAAAACATTGAATTAGTTAATGAAAAAAGAACCACATCAACAAGAATTAAACCATAAATCTAATTAGAAATGAAGTTATCTATATGAATCAAAAGAATCAAACCCATACATAATGAATCAACTTAATTCAGATCTCCTTCTTCTTTTTTTTCCTTTTGCACACTTCATGATCTAAAAAGTATATTATGACTGTGTCCTGAAACTTACCAGAAGACACTGTCTTGTTCTTCAACCATTCGTGGCAACCAACAGCCTTTGATATGGTCAAAGGCCTCATGGGTCCTTGACTGTGACATGAGACAGCAATTTTGGAAGCCAAAGAAAAGGTACACTCAACCCAGCAGCAAGTTTCAGGCAGAGACATATAATCTTGAGCCATAGTGGCTAAGACTGGGAAACTTTTTGCATCACTCTAAATTTCATGGAATTCAGAAATCAGTGGGGGTAAGATAATGGGGATATTGAGCAAAAAAGGTACTCACAGCACACCAGTCAAGCACACTCCTTCCTTTGCCCAATGGATTATCACCCTCAAGATATTGTCTTATTTGAAGTTAAATGCCCTGAACAGTTCCAGTGCTGGAACAATTGAAAACAATTCAACTTCCTCATTGTCACTCACATTGGGTTGATTTGCTGAAATAGATTCTAGCAAAGGTGATCAACTAAAAAAAATATAACAGAAATACACACCTCAAGAGGTTTCTTCACCAAACAAATGAAAGAATTGTTCAATGGAGATGCTCAAAACCATGGAAGAACTGATTTGTGTTTGGATCTGTATCTAGAATACTGTTGATACTCTGTAACCAGGAAACATAGTAAGAGAAACATTTTCATAAATACTTCAATAAGGCAAGCAAGAGTGAATGATCTCATGTCTAGCTGTTACACACCTTTGAATATTAGTATTGGTTTTGGAATTCCAGCACACTTACCAACTATGGATGATACACTTGAGACCTTGTGACTTTGCACAGCTGCTAAACCATTGCCAACCCAAGGATCTCAATTCTCAAACATATCAATCATAAAACCTTTTCACAATCCAGTAGCTGTGATCTAAAAAATCAACTGCTCACCAATTGGAAGAAGATCTGACTGACCTCTACCAAAGCCCATCTGACCAGGTCTGCAGTTCTGCTTGGATCTTCATTGTTGTAGTTTTCATCTTCACAATCAGAGTTCATAGAAGTGGGTACTAAGCCTGTGGTATCCTCATCTGATGATGATCAGACCTCAACATTGTTCTCTCTGGTGTTAATGACCCAAGGTCGGTTTTCACATCAGCTGCCAAACTTTTAATTGTCGTGAGTCAATGCTTGACATCCAAAGTGAGTTTATATCATAACCATCTCCCACAATTTCCCAAAAGAATCCTAATAAATATCATTTACAATCCATAAGAGCATCTCCAACGCGCCTGAATCTGAATGACTCATACAGGTAATTTATTTCTTCGGCTGGACAGCTGTATTTCTTTTTCAGCGACATGTCAGGACAGGTCCCTCCAGCGCACAATCTGAACTTCATTCTCAATTCCTCTTGAGGTTCAACCCACGTCACTCAAAGTCCCTTTTTGTCCAGACGTGAGCAGTCACCTACCTATCTTATTATCACAATACGTAACGAGTTTGACATATGGACAATTATTTTAGTCAACGTTCGGGCAAAAACCGTTGAGATACTGGTTTTTCAGCGATTCAGCCAGGTCCGCAGATTTGCGGACCTGAGCATGGGAGTGTGTCATTTCCCAAAAACCAAGTTCGCACCGTGGGCCAGGTGTGAGACCTTTCCCTCGGCGCTGGAGGACGATTTTCTGAAAAACAGCAATACAGGTTACGTTTTTGACATAAACGTAACATTTAGTCATTCAGATTCACGAGCGTTGGAGATGCTCTAAAGACATTGTTAAGTTGATCAGCTATCTTGTCAATGTTGGCAATGGCACCCATTCAAGTGGTTTGTACCAGTACCTGATCATATAGAATTAGAAAAAACTTCAGTATTGGAATAAGAAATCCAAAGAAGTCAACCAAGCAAAAGAAATGAAACATAAGCAGTCTATCTCATGGAGTCCATGCAATGAAAAACTTTCCAACTAGTCTGGCAAGCCAATCGTAATAGCACTGTCATGTTACCAACTTCAATATGATCCTTCTAATATGAATTAATTCAAGTTGTGGTATCAGTAACACACAATATGAAAGCTCAACAAGGCAAAACTTGCTTAATCTTGTTGGCAATGGCACCCATTTCAATGGGTTGTGCAAGTACCTGATCATATAGAAATAGAAAAAACTTCAGTATTGGAATAAGAAATAGAAGTAAACCAAACAGAAGAAAAGAAAAATAACCAGACCATCTCATGGAGTCCATGTAATGAAAAACTTTCCAACTAGTCAGGCAATCAAATCACAATAGTACTGACATGTTACCAACTTCAATATCATGATCCTTCTAATATGAACCAATCCAAGTTATGGTGACAGTAACACCTCTGAAAGCCAAACAATTAGTCTATCTGTAATATTGTAGACAAGGCAAAAGTTGGTTGTATGATCCTACAGTCTAAAATACCAAATTTAGATAAATGTTCTGATGAAAATCAACAGATTCACTCATCTCTTAATGCTATCCATATGTACTCTCATCTTGCTTCCTCCAACTCCTCAACTTTTTCTGTACAGCTGTTGTTACTCTGGATCTCTACGACCATCAAAACTAAGAGCTCAAAGATCTTGAAGCTTAGTTTGTCGAGCTGTAATCAAGTATGTAAGCATGATGAATAAAAATTCCTCAATCTAGCCATCATTCCAATCTAGAGTCGAATGTACAAACATGCCTTTAAGGCTTGATGCAAAGCTTGGTTTGGACCCATCTAAGACTACATAACATCTGAAGAAAAAAAAATGTCATAAACAAAAATACAAATTAACCTATTCTACATAACAAACCACCACCCCAAAATCCCACAATCCAAAAGCCTAACAAACCATTACAAAGAATGACCTTAAAAGATAGTCCCATCACTAACAACCTTCAAAGGAGGACCAGCCGAGCCGAGCCCACCAACCGACCTTTTCTTCCAAGCGATTTCTCTTCCCCCTTTCCAAGTAGCCGCCTCCAAAACCTGTACCAAACTCAACTCATTCTTCTTTCCAACCAACCCTAACCTTTGATTAATCCCTTCTTTAATCTGATCTAATCCTATGACCGTTAAAGCTCTCCATTCGATAATAGCAGGATGAGAAGCCGGTAAAGCAGGCAAGTCTTGTAAATCAAAGTTTTCTATAGATGATTGTAGTGATAAGGAGTTGATGAAGGCTTCGGGTTTGGGTTTTAGATAGTCTAGATCGATTAATAAGCCTCCGTTTCTGTACTCTGGTAAACCTGTCATTTGTTCTTTCCCCGTAAAGATCCAACCTAAAGTCTTTTCCATCCTACAAAACGATTTTCCAAACCTCATCAGATCAGAAAAAAGAAATAGAAATCAAATTCAAACACTTACACTTCGATCAACGAATACGTAAGCCATTGAGACAACTTATGAAACGAAACAAATCCGTCTTGAAGAGTTTGAGACTTAGAAGTTTCTAGCGCTTTACAATTCCAAACATCACCAATAAACTGACCATGAACTTGTTCTCTTCCAAGATGAGGCCAAATCGAACCCAATCCTTTTTCCTGATCAATCACCAAGTTCCACAAAACGTCCACCGGAACGATGATTTCACCTTTCATCACTGGTTTAGGAACCGGCCTGACTTGTGGATGATCCATAAGATAGTCTAGAAGATTACCAGGTCTTGATAATTGACGTGAAGGAAAGAATTCTGAAGGAGTGGATAAGAGACTGCCTAGGTTGTTGAGCAAGGTTGTTCTGCCTTGTAATCCTACAATCTGATTACCAGGTCTAGATTGCATAGATTTAGATAACTGATCGAGGGTTAAAGACTTCAACCCGATCGGATCAACTTGATGAGGAACCTGAGGATCAGAAGAAAACAATCCATTCATAAACCCATACAACGTTCCAATTGCCAATCCTTCACTCCGACCGATTCCTTGATTCCCTTGAGGTTGAGGTTGGGAAGTAGGTTCTTGGAATGACCATTCGTCACCTGCTCCTGCATCCATTAAGACGGCTACAACGAATAGATCAATAAGTTTTCGGGTAGGTTCAAGTGGATCTTCGTGGGTCGATTTCCATGAGGTTAGTAAGGGAGTAATCCTGTCTTGGTCATTGACTAAGAAATGTCGCCATCGTCCATGCGGTGGGATCTTGTGATAATCTGTACCGAAATCTCTCTGTAAAAACAAACCCTTGATCAGCTTTAGTTTAGTTTAAATTGAAAGGAAGGAACTTACGTGGATTAGGTTGGTACAGTAGTCTATTAAGACTGGTAATTGGTTGGGTTGGATTGACCAGAACTCTAGTTTGTTGGAATGGCTTAGATTGTAAACTTCTTGACAACTTTCTCTGATTGATTTTAATGATTTAAGATATTCGACTCTTTGTTGATGGTCTTTCATAATAGTTTGAGTTGGTTTGCTTGTTTGTTTAACTTTGATGACGTAATTTCAATCGAGATGAAGTGAAGAAAGGTTTTAAGTAGTTTTGGACTTGGTGGGACATAGTATAAACATATTACACTTGGATATGTTTAAACTGAGTACACCATCAAAAATGTTGAATCGACAAACCGTCAAACCATTTCCACCAAAAACCAAAAAACCAAAAAACCAAGAACCAAGATGAGTCAATCATCCTCATCAGATCAGGAATCAGATCACCAACAAGTAAGTCAGTCATTCAAAAGATACTCACCATTATCAAATACTCATCTTTAGTTTTCTTTCTAGTCAGAAATCTATAATCATCATCAAAAAAGACCACTCGATTCAGATTATCAATCATCAGAGGAATCAGATTCAGAATCAGAATCAAAATCAGAAAAGGAATCGAAATCAGAAGAAGAAGAAGAAGAAATCCAAGTATTATCACATAAAGAAAGAAGAAAACGTAAAAAACTATGCACCAAACAAGCCCTAAACCCAATCCCCAACCCAGCACCCAAAGCCACCAAAGGAGAGTACGGAATCTGGGTCGGAAACCTACTATTCACCACCACCCAATCAGACCTCGAAACATTCTTTTCATCATGCGGCCGAATCACCCGGTTCAATTTCCCAACCAAACCCCACACACCCATCAAACCCAACCAAAGGAATCCAGGTTACGCATACATTGATTTCGAATCTGAAGAAGGTATGAAGAAGGCTTTGCAGAAAACTGAGAGTTTGTTGGGTGGTCGAAAGCTTTTGATCAAACGATCTAATGATTATTGTGGGAGACCTAAGAAGGGAATTGAACATGATGGGGTTAAAGATGGGGGAATTGGGTGGGGTGAGAAGGGCCCTGTTAAGGGCTTGGATCGGATGGCTAAACCGGCTGTGGCTTGTTTGTTTCTAGGTAATTTGAGTTTCGAAAGTACTGTGAGTTTAAGATTTCTCATTTTCTTTCGATAAATCATGGATTTAATTATGGGGTTTTTTCTTTGATGGTAGTCTGAATCGATTATGAAACATTTTAAATCAAATCATCAAACTTCAACTTCAAACCAAGCTCAAGCAGACGATCCAGCCATACGACAGATCAGACTAGGTACATTTGAAGACTCAGGAAAATGTAAAGGGTAAATCGATCGCAACCTCTACCTTACCAAATGCAAATGAACTGATCAAAATTGTGCGTTTGGGTTTGGAATAGATTTGGATTTTTAGATTTTCGTGATACTCATTCGGCCACCCAAGCTTTAATGAATAAAAAAAACCATCGATACTTGGGACGTCAGATTAAAGTCGAATACGCTTCTGAAGAAGCGGCTCGTCGGGGTGGTGGGTCTCATGCTTCTTTAAATCGAAATAAATCAAAATCTCAATCCAATCATTCAAATTCAAACTCAAACTCAAAGCAAACTCAAAGAAAAGAATTTAAACCTAGAGTAGATCAAAGTAGAATAGACCAACTTAAAGACGTAGAAAAACTGGAAAAGATCGAAAATATGGAAAGGATAGAAAAAGTAGAAAAGATAGACCCCCAACAAGTTCAAGAAGTCCGTACAAAAAAATCGTTTCAAGGAAGACTTACACCAGGTGCTGCACTTGCAAATGCTCAAAGAGCTCCTACTGGAATCATAAGAAATCCAGAAAAAGTAGGAAAGAAGATTGTTTTTTAGATTTTCAAGTTTGCAACCAAACGTATGTGTTAAAGTAAACTAAACCAAAAAAAATCAAAATCAAAATCAAATCCTATAGTTATGAAAGAACATTTTGATTGGGTTCTGGATTTTTTGGGATCGGTTTGAACGTTGTGTTTTTTGAGAGATGTGTCTTTTTTTGGTATATCAAGGAATATGGGAATGGTTTTTGAAAAGCATGGTTTGATTGATTTATCAACGATTATATCACAATACACATACTAGAAATTAACATCTGTTTGACCATCACATTGAAATTTCTGACCATTTTTCTTTTTTAGTTTTTCTACTTTTTTTTGAATGCATCATATTCATCACCAAGATATTTATGTAGTGTTTTTTGATGATAGGTATTCTTGGATTCTGAACCTTGAACAGAAGGGTTACAAGGGTTTGATGCAAGGTGGTTCTCAGTGATGTACTAGAAATCAAGCTATGTTCAACAACCACATTGAGTTTCTAACCATTTTTCTTTTTTGAGTTTTTCTGCTTTTTTTGTATGCATCATATTCATCATCAAGATATTTACCATGTGTTATTCATTGAGAGGTATTCTTGGATTCTAAACCTTGGAGAGAAGGTTCAGAATCACAAGGTTTTGATCCAAGGTGATTCTCAGTGATGTACTAGAAATCAAGCTATGTTCAACAACCACATTAAAGTTCTAACCATTTCTCTTTTTTGAGTTTTTCGGCTTTTTTTTGTATGCATTATATTCATCATCAAGATATTTACCATGTGTTTTTCATTGAGAGGTATTCTTGGATCCTAAACCTTGGACAGAAGGTTCAGAATCACAAGGTTTTGATCCAAGGTGGTTCTCAGTGATATACTAGAAATTAAGCTATGTTTGACCATCACATCAAATTTCTAACCATTTTTCTTTTTTAGTTTTTCTACTTTCTTTTTTGAATGCATCATATTCATCACCAAGATAACCATGTGTTTTTCATTGAGAGGTATTTTTGGATTCTGAACCTTGAACAGAAGGGTTACAAGGGTTTGATCCAAGGTGATTCTCAGTGATATACTAGAAATTGAGATGTGCACACAACATCCTTGTATATATCCAGAATGAAGCTGATCAAGCTATAATTCAAGTGGCAGCTTGGTGTACTAGATACTTCATAGAATGCATTCCCAAAGATCAATCAGTCGCATTTCCCATCACCATCAAGCCAAATGGTTTGACTACACGAGAATTATCAGGATTGAGCAATTTGTTCAAGCAAAACAGTCGGGCATAAGTGGAAATAATGGTTAGCTGTAGCACAAATTCGACATCATAGTGATGAATTAGATGATCAAGGTGTCGTGGAGCACTGTGACTTGGGACATTCTAGATGTCATGGCAAACATCGTGAAGTTTACAGCACGGAAAGTGAAAGTCAGTGCTGAACGAATATCATATGATTCACTGACAACAAGTTTACAAATTTATACTTACGTAGAAACTTATTCATAGTCTTGCAAAAGAACAAGCCAGTCCTTTCAGATTGATTGCAATCTGTTGTTTTCAAAATACAAGAATTGATCAAGATTTGATAGATTAGTCACTAGAATTCTGTGCTTTTGAGGCACGTTGAGATATCTTGAACTGATCCACACAGACACTGAGGTGAAACATGGAAGATGACTTACAGAATTGTCTGCCGTCTTTGCGGTATTCTGTGAAGGGCTCGAATACAATGTCGCAAGCCCATAAGTCCCCCCCATTCATTAGCTTTCCACTTTGGTCAACACAGTCCTTACCAGCTGTGCGAGACCCCATCAAACGGAAGAGTAAGTGGTCCTTCTATATCGCCCGTTGATTGAAAACAAAAACTCTTCCTTACAGGGTAATAACCGATCACCCCTTCTACAGTTTGTGCAATAATTCGTGACATAGCTTGAACCAGAGCCTTGTGTTTCACACGCTGTGAGTTCAAAAGGATGTTAAAATTGTTTACTAGTCAGTTCACATTATATATAAGAACAAAACAATGAATGATTGACTTGGAAGAAGTGAAAAAGTGCAGATTGAAGGAAATCTTTGACTGACCCGACTTGTCGACACCGGGGGATGCTACATGTAATGTCGTCGAAGACTCCATTACAAACATAGTACAGACATATATTCTTATACATGATTACACGACCTTTTTGATATCTCTCGTCTCGCAGAACACTAACTCCTCAGGGAATCTAGACTGATTAGATTTCATCTCTTTGGAGTTAGGTGAGCAACAACATCATTTCACTTATATCATCCTATTTCCTTATTATATCTTGTATGGTTCCTCAGGGAATCTAGACTGATTAGATTTCATCTCTTTGGAGTTAGATAATAAAAACTAGTATAGTTTGGTTCTAGAAAATCAGTCGAGATCACTACGTGATTCTCAGTTCCCTCACATTCCCGTCACTGTTCGGTAAAAATAAGATTAAATTAGTGAGGACTCAATAGGTCCTTTACACTTCTTTTTTCTCGAACCAATCCCGAATCCCGTCAACCTTGTGGTTCCAATACAATCGCAAAACAACCCCGCATATGACGACCAATCCCGATTCCCGTACAACCCGTAGCAGCTTAAACCATACACTCACCGGCATAGTTGATAATCCAGAAGATATCATAAGATGAACAAACTCCGCGCCGACTTATCACCGACGTTCAATTGAAGAAGAAGGACGATACGAAGAAAATAAGGTTTTGTTTGCATTCATTCCTAAGCCTATACCTGCAACCAAAAAGCCATACAATCCAAACCCACGGCTTCCTACTACCCCAGTACAACAAGTACCGGCAAGTTTCCCGCGATCACCATCTCAGACTCGTGTCTCCCAAATCCTGTTTGAAGAGAAACGACTTCTACAGGATCGATCTTCTAAGCCATCTCAATCATCTTCTCTGCGCTCCTCTACAACAATGGGCAACACTTTGTTGGAAGAGACTACCTCGACCAACGACCTCCTTCGTGCTATCCTGCAGACTCAACAAGCAGGGATTCAAGCGGCTAATGAATCGGCCCTACGAATCTCAAAGCTAGAAGAAGAGAGAATCATAGCGGCCAAAGAATCGGCACAGAAGATTGCGTTGCTAGAAGAGAAACTCCTCGTATTACAACTAAATGAATCCTCACCGAGACGAACAGTCGAGGTGGAAGACGCCACGAGTCGTGGCGTAGACTTGACAAAATTTAAGTCATCGGACGGACCAGCCTTCAAGGGGCCATACCGGGACACCGAATCCTTTCTCAAGTGGTTCACAGCACTAAAGATCTTCTTTCTTGTGAAGAAGATCGAGAAAGATGAAGATAGAATCATACTCACGGGTTCTTACCTGCAAGAGACCAATTTACAATCCTTTTGGGCTCATAACATCGAAAACTTCAAGAATATCACTTGGAAAGAGTTCAAAGCCAGCCTATTCAGAGCGGCACTACCATCCGATTGGAATGATAAACTGAGAGAGAAGATTTTATTACTCAGGATGTCTTACAATGAAGATTTTAAATCATATAGCACCAGAGCGCGATCGGTTCAGTCACTCATGAATCACGACAACTTGATCTTAAACGACTACACCTTGGCAACTCACCTAGTCTTAGGGATTATACCCGAACTTAAATCGTCTATACGCTTACATGAGGCTCTAGTGGAGGAAGGATTTGATTACAATAAATTTGAAGAACGTTGCGAAGTCTTATATGAAGACTTGATCGTCAAGAGAGTTATCTTGAAACGAGCGGGACCTTCTTCATACCGTTCTGCACCAACCAATCCCACTTTCCATCATTCAACCAAGACATCGCCACCGGTGACGGCAGAGGATGAAGAAGCTAGGAAGCGTGCGTTCATTTGGAAGATCAAGTTGTATCTCGATTTGGCAGGCTTGTGTCACTACTGCAAGAAACAGTGCGGCAGTGAATACAAGCAATGCAGAGGTACTTTCTCTAAAGAGCGAGTCAACTTTCCACCGGGCTACACAGCACCACCCAAACCGGACAACTACACTCCATCTCGCGCTCGATTGGCATCCTCCCCTGCGGGTCGACCAACACAACCCCCAGCTGGCAGACCAGTTCGAGTCAACGCAGCGGCGGTAACCTTCCCTGAGTATGACGCGGTCACTGTAGCGGCATATGAAGAGATTGACTGTGAGCTCAAGGAAATACAAGAGTTGGGAGAGGAGGAGCTACTTCAACCCGGAGAAGGAGGGTACGTGGACCAACCTATCTCGCGACCAGTGGTGATCCTACAGCTAACCTGTAACGGCAAACCCATCCGCGCCCTGGCTGATGCAGGATCGGAGACGAACCTGATAGCGGACAGAGTGGTTGATACCTTGGGACTACGTCGAAGGAAACTACTGAAACCGACGATTGTAGGACTCGCACTCGATTCAGGCAGCCAACCACCCATGCTCACGGAGTTCACAACAGCATCCCTCAAGCACTTATCGTCGGACATGACTTTTGATCATACATACATGAAGATCGGACAATTAGGTCAATCATATGATATAATTCTGGGTGCTCCTTTCCTTTCTCGTCACGAGTTATCAGTATCATGTGCAAAGAAGGCTGTTATTAGTGAAAGATCCTTTGTTTTGTTGTATGATTTTAGAGAAGAATTGAAATTGAAAGATAAGATTGAGGAGTCAAAACTGGCCTTGGTAGCCGCATCAGATGAGAAACGTGAGAGTGATCGTTGGAAATTGTGGGAGAAAAAATTGACACAGAAAGCTGAACCCTTGAGAAGGAATGCCCCAAGTTCGTGGGAGGAATGGGAGGAAACTTACTTCTCACAATACCATGAACTATTCCCTGTAGATATTCCGGCAATCTCGGATGAAGCTGAAGAGCAAGGTGAGTTCACCGATGGATCCTTCCCCAACAAAATGCAAGATCCATCATCCACGGTACGACACAAGATCATCTTAACGGACCCAAACGCGGTAGTAAACGAGCGCCAATACCCTTACCCGCACCGTCACATGAAAGCTTGGAGAAAACTACTAGACCAACACATAGCAGCAGGGAGGCTCCGGAAATCTTCAAGCCAATACGCATCTCCCAGTCTGATCATTCCAAAGAAGGACCCTTTGGAACTTCCAAGGTGGGTATGTGATTACCGCACCTTGAATAGCATGACCGTCAGGGACCGTTCACCGCTTCCTAAGGTGGACGAGTTGGTCAGGCTAGTATCGTCAGGAAAAATTTTCTCATTATTAGACCAAACTAATGCCTTCTTCCAAACTCGAATGAGAGAAGCTGACATCCCTCTCACCGCTGTCAAGACACCGTGGGGACTTTACGAGTGGTGCGTGATGCCTATGGGTCTCACAAATGCACCCGCAACACACCAGAGTCGACTCGAGGAGGCATTAGGGGAATTGATCAACACCGTATGCGTTGTATATCTGGACGACATTGTAGTTTTCTCGAATTCATTGGAAGAACACAAGAAACATTTAACTTTGGTTTTGGAAAGACTCAAGAAGGCTAATCTTTACTGTAGTAGAAAGAAGACAAAGATGTTCAGGCGTGAGGTGAAGTTCTTAGGACATGTGGTCTCAACAGACGGAGTACGAGCGGATGAAGAGAAAGTTGAACAAATACGTTCTTGGGAGTCCCCGAAATCAACGAAAGGAGTTCGAAAATCTTGGTACTGTACAATGGATGAAGAAATTTGTACATGGCCTAGAAAAATACGTGGGGAAACTCACACACCTGACCAGTAGTAAACTCGACAAGAAGAATTTCAAGTGGGGAGATATGGAGGAAGCAGCATTTCAAAACATCAAGAGGATCATGACGACACTCCCATGCCTGAAGAACGTGGATTTTGATTCAACGGACCCATTATGGCTATTCACCGACGCGAGTGGGACGGGTTTAGGAGCGGCGTTGTTTCAAGGGAAAGAGTGGAAAGGGGCGAGCCCAATAGCTTACGAGTCGAGACAAACGACAACGGCCGAGCGCAACTACCCGGTACACGAGCAAGAGCTATTAGCAGTTATTCACGCATTACAGAAGTGGAAAATGCTCCTCTTAGGCATGAAGGTGAATGTGATGAGCGACCATCACTCGCTGACCTACCTTTTAAAGCAGCGATCACTCAGTAGGCGCCAAGCTCGCTGGCTCAAACAATTAGCCGATTTTGACCTTCAATTTCAATACATCAAAGGGGAGGACAATTCGGTGGCCGATGCGTTGTCAAGGAAAGACTCTGAAGACTTTCAAGCGGGAGTTGAAATGGTAGCGGCATTAGCACTCTCACAAACCTCTCTCTCAGATGACTTTCGACGCGAAGTTATACGTGGATACAAGACTGACAAATTCTGTACTGCTGTCCGTGACGGAGCGCCTCTTAGAGATGACTGCTATATTGACGAGGGCCTGATTTTCATCGACGGAAGACTTCTGATTCCCAACGTTGAAAGCTTACGCTTGAACCTCATCGAAGAAGCACACAAACGAGTAGGACATTTAGGAGTTCTAAAGACCGTATCAAGCCTTCGACTAGATTTCTTTTGGCCACGAATGAGCAAAGACGTAGAATTCCGCCTGAAGTCTTGTGAAATTTGTCAGAAAACGAAAGCACGGACGTCATTACCCAATGGTCACATGCGCACACCCAACGTACCATCCGAACCCTTATCAAATATTGCCATAGATTTCATTGGACCTTTACCAAAGATCAACAACTATGACATGTTACTGACGGTCACTTGTCGACTTTCTGGCTTCACGCGACTGATTGCAACTAATCAAGCCGACACAGCGGAGAAAACGGCGTCAAGATTCTTTGGCGCTTGGATGGGCACTTTTGGAGTTCCCCAATTGATCATCAGCGACAGGGACAAGGCGTGGTCTTCAAAGTTTTGGAAGGCTCTGGTAGAACGCCTCAACTTCTCCTTTCACCGATCGTCGGCGTACCACCCCCAAGCTGATGGCAGGAGTGAACGGACCAACAAGACAGTAGGTCAAGTATTACGTACTTTCACCGCCAAACGTCAGACAAAATGGTTAGAAGCCCTACCCTCGGTAGAGTTCGCGATCAACAGTGCCACAAATGTAGCGACAGGTCTCTCTCCCTTTGAGGCTGTGTTTGGAAGACCGGCTAAGCTTTTCCCTTCCTGCGGTTCCATTGACGACTCTCCACCCTCACTCGAGACCTGGCTTCGTCAACGGGAGGGTACCTGGGCTCAGATACGCGATAACTTGTGGACCAGCCGGGTACAACAAGCATTACAACACAACAAACGTCATGTTGATCTGAAGGTTGAACCAGACGGTTGGGTATTACTCGATTCCGGTGATTGGAGAGGCCGCCATTCAGGCGGGGTCGACAAGCTCAAAGAACGATACGAAGGACCATACAAGGTCCTGGACACATTCAATAACGGACAGAGTGTTTGAATTGATTTACCAGTGGGCGACAAACGACATAATGTTTTCAACATCTCGAAATTGAAGCCTTTCGTGGAGAACTCGGGGTTAGGGCCTGAGGCCCAAAAGTAAGTTCTCTCCTTAGTATGCACCGCCGGGCTTTCTACGCCGTTTGTCATAAAATCATTACCTTGGCCACACTGTGAGCGTCGAACGGGGGCTCCGCTTGTTTCATTCACAGCAAACAATCACACAAAGTACTCGAGGCGACACTGGCGTACTTCACCTTTAATCAAGTTCACATTATTAACTCATAATTTTTCTCTTCTCTTACGTCTCTTTTTTTTTCTTCTCTTTTTTCTTCTTTCTTTTTCTTCTTACTTTTCTTCTTTAATTATTTTACTTATTTCACGGGGGATTAAGATCAAGATGGGACACAAAAATTTCCAACATCGGGTTACTGTTCCTTGTTTCTCATTCTCATTTCTCTTTCTCTTTTCTCTTTCAATTATTACTCATTTTCACGGCTCTCGCACCTCGGCACTCAAGCCTTTTTTATAGGAGGGGAGAATGTAATGTCGTCGAAGACTCCATTACAAACATAGTACAGACATATATTCTTATACATGATTACACGACCTTTTTGATATCTCTCGTCTCGCAGAACACTAACTCCTCAGGGAATCTAGACTGATTAGATTTCATCTCTTTGGAGTTAGGTGAGCAACAACATCATTTCACTTATATCATCCTATTTCCTTATTATATCTTGTATGGTTCCTCAGGGAATCTAGACTGATTAGATTTCATCTCTTTGGAGTTAGATAATAAAAACTAGTATAGTTTGGTTCTAGAAAATCAGTCGAGATCACTACGTGATTCTCAGTTCCCTCACATTCCCGTCACTGTTCGGTAAAAATAAGATTAAATTAGTGAGGACTCAATAGGTCCTTTACACTACAGTCCAGCCGTGGCTGCAATCTATAGCATTAGCATCTGCGAAGATGTGAAAGCCGAGGTCTCCGGCGAGCAAGCAAACGAGCAGAAGATGAAAGATGGGTATCGATCGAATCCAAGACATATTTCAAAGAACAAGATGAGAATCAGCGAATAGTTATGAAAGGCCCGTAGATCTAGTGAGAGGGATCTTGCAGACTTTTTCTCTTTAGCGAAGCAACCTTATATAATCCACACAATTTAACGAGGAAAAGTGCTCTTCCGAATCCGTCTTAACCCTGATTGACGGTAAATCATCAGGCTATAACTTTAGCCACCGGTTCCTGGTCAGCCACTAGGGACGCCAGTGGCCACGGGAGTTTCCTCCGCGAGGAACCCCGCAACGATCCAATTCACCTCGTGCTGTCCACGTAAGGCCCACTGTGTCACTAATTAGAGAGGCATGGCTTCTTCGGGAATCGTTGGAAATGGGTGAAGTGGGCGAGAAGGTCTCCGGGCGGGAAGGTAGTCCGTATAAACTTATATCACGGGACACGACCGGTAACCATCCTTGACCATCATGTCCAAGATATGGAGTCTGACATAGCTGCGATGAGATGCTCATATCGGAGCTCGTGTCAAGAGAGTACGTGACATTCAAACTTGAATCGACATTGACACAACATATTCCCTTTCGACGTGATATGAAACTCACCAAATGACATGATAGAAATTAACAAGAAGTTCGAAGCCATGAAAAAATATCATACTTCTGAAGCTTCTTGAAATTGGACCAAATGATCAGGCGTCACCATCAAACAGAGACGGTCGTTGACTCAAGTTGGTACTAGTACTACTAGAGATAATATGGATGCTCATGAGTCATGCCTGATGACCAGAAGACTATGATGAGACTTTAAGACATGCGAAACAAAAATGTCGTCATCAGCTAGGAAAGGGACTCGAGATACGAGGCAATTGGTTGCTCAAACCCAATGGATTGTACTTGAAAGGAACTGTGTCTAACACATTGTCATTCAAAAAGCGAACAGAGTATGTGCTATGATTTGACCGCGAGAGTGACTGTGAACCAAGGGCAAAGGATACATACATATCCTGATTTTTCAAAAGGTATACCCCTTCTGACCCAGGTCAACTAAAAGTCAAAGAATGATACGTAATTCAACACCTCAAAGTCTTCACCAACCTGTGAAGTTGAGTGTCTATGGTCGTTACCTGGAGGAGCAGGTGAGTAGTATTGAGGGGCACAAGGGCTCACTGCCTCTCTACCAAACTGCCCAGGCATTGTCCAATCCGTCACTGGATCCGACTCAAAATCCCTATATCTACCCTTGATTTGCCAAAGCTGTCTATGACGTCACATCTTTCTGCGCCAACTAGAAGCTCACTCAAGATTGTATTAAAGCCGCATGTCGTTTGTCTAGAGGTAAGATCATTTCAGCAACACAATCAATTACTTGAATCATTTACAAACATTTACACCATACTTGCTTTACTACGTTAAATAACTATTCATCATGAAGATTGCATCTTTCAATACTTTAGGATTTGCTCTTTGTATACTTGTCGCTGCATCTTTAGTTTGTGGTCAAGCGGATGTCAAAACTACCGCAACTCCCAGTAATACTCCTGATGCTACATCCAAAACCCCCGAGCAAAAAGCTGCAGATCTGAAAACAGCAAACGGTGTACTAAATTCGGTCTCAGCTGGGTAAGTCTCATCATACAAATATACGATTGATTTGAGCTCATTGGGCTGTTTTTGTTTTGTACCGAATCAGATTGGGTGCAGGAGGTTTAATCCTTCCTTCATTTATCTTGAAAGCAGTTGCAGATGGAGTAGGTCAAATCAAAACTCGACGTTCAATCAAACTTGAGCGCGATTATTGAGATATGCATGGATCGAATCAAAATTAAGAAGAATAGAATTGGAATTTCATATTCATTTTCCACTTCATCTTCCTTGATCTGATTTATGTTTCCAAGTTCTCTATCACTTGACTTTTGCTTTCTCATTGTATTCTTACCTAACTTCAATCTGTCTCAACAAGGCATTGGCTCTTCTTTCCCCTGTAGAAACTTCAATTGTACTTTCCTTTCTTTTTTTGATAGAAACTTCTATCACATTTTGTATCTTACTTCAATAACCAATTTTTTTGAAAAATCCCAACTTGAGAATTTTCTGATCTGGTGCTTGGCTTCTGCTCCATTCGTGAAAAGAAGACCGTTGACTCTGGATTGATTTTTCAGCGTTAACATAGCCAGCATCATAAATCGCACGAGTATTTGAACCATTCACATCGTGTTCAACGCGTCATCCATTCCTTACTGAGGAGGAATGCAAGTTAGCCGACGTAAAAAGAGTTCCATATTTTAATGGATCTGTGCATCATACAATCTAGCTAGGATACATACACATTCAGGGTGGGCTCACGTGTAGAGAAATGTAGAGTTAAGTGGCCATTCAAGGATCACGGCTCTGGGCTGTGGATCATTCTTCACATATTTATATACATGTCGTGATTGCAATTCGAACACAGAAGTTTAGCATTAGAATATGGATAATAAGACAAATCAAAGGAACAGGTCACAAAGATGAAGGAAGATCCCAACAAAATGGAAATCATAAGTGTTTCACAGGGAGGAGTTTTCGACAAAGAGGAAACATGAATTCGTGGATTAGTTGGGCGGGCCGTGAGATCCAGTAAGCTTCTTCAGGGTCGTGGTATCAGTCACGTTCTTCATCCAGGTGTTCCTCTTGACCAAGCCAATATTCCTCCACGATTACAAACTCATCATCGAATTCATCATCCTCATCCTCACTATAATCCTCGTCACCATTCTCATCAACATCCAGCTTGATTTCATAGTTCTGACACAAGGCTTTTAAGTCATTGAGTTCTCTACGAGAAAGAAATGCCCTAGGGGCAAAAAAGCCCGTTCGATTTTTAAATTCAAACTTCTTCAAATTTGGCCAAGGTTGATCTTGAATTAATTGTTTTAAATCTTGACGTTTGTAACGCGAAGCGTCACCTAATAAGATCCACAAAAGGTTCTTTGAGTCTTGAAAGGCTCTCAAGAATTGGATGGGTAAGTAGCTTATGATTTCTAAATTGATCAGTTTGGGCAATTCGAATCGGATCTTATCATTTGGTAAGGCTTGAAGAACTGAATCTGGATTCCAAATGCCACGATGATAACGAGGGATGTTATCAAATATAAGTGTTGTTAACGTCGATTGAAAAAGTGTGACGAAATCGTGTAGGACTGATATGGAGAGTCGATCACAATCTACTAATGATAATGCTTTCAACGAACTTTTCCAATGAAGTTGATTCCAACTAGAATCTAGACAATGCACTTCTTTCAAATTTAATTCAACAAGATGAGTAAGTGAAGCCAGATGAAGTCCTAGTGGAGATTGACAAGCTTGTTTATGTTTTTGATGCTCTAAAGGCTTAGGGTGAGTAGCATCAATCCTGGAACAAGTGAGACTTTGAAGTTGAGAAAGGTTTGAGATGATGTTGACTAAAAAGGGTTCGGTGTAAGAGCATTGATTTGTACGAGATGATGATAGTGTAAGATGAGTAAGTGAAGTGAGTTGGGAGATTGATTGAAATGATAACTTTGGAATTTGAACAAGATCAATATCGAGCTCAAGGAGATGAGGACAACATTCCAAGATTTTGAACAACACTTCGGATCGTGACTTGATATTCCATTGTGGATTATGATGATAAATATTTTGCCTCAATAGCTGTTGAAGTTCACTTTCCTCTAAACCTGATGTGAAGTCTGAGACCCTCCACCTCATCTTCCTGCTGTGATATGAATGCCTTTTAATGATTTCCTCAAGTGTGAACTTTAGTCTATCCACCTTGTAACCTTGAAAATTGAAACCCTGGAATAGAGATCATAATCAAGGCATCAGTCACTCGATTATGACAAGATGATGATTTTGAGAGGCTCAAGTTACCTTGTAGAGATACGGACAGCATAATTTATAGAATATACGATCAACCGAAGCAAGTGATCGGATATCATCAATCAAGGGAAGACCTTTGAAAGACAAGAATTTGCTGTCTTGTCAGTACAACTAGTATGAATGTGATATTTGATGCAGAAGCTCAAGATTGAACGGATGAGGACGATAATGAGGTGGATGGGATTGGGAGAGTCAAGAAATCTACTAACAGTCGCTTTTTCCTTGAAATTTTTGAAGACGTCGAATTTCCTGATGTTGATCATCATCATTGTGATGTATGGTACTGCTCTGTTGGGTCTTATATTTTTTCTGATCAGTTGAAGAAAGGTGAAGAACCCAATGAATGATGAGTTCTTTGATCTCCATTGGCATAGATGATAAATTGTTCTGGATATGTGAATGGGGAATTCCAATTGAAGTCATTTTTGAATGTGAAGGTTTAAATGATCCTCTCAAAGGATGTGATTTCTTCGTCATCTTATTTTGAATATTTTTGCTTGATCGTAAGTCATACATTTTTTGAGCCGCTGAAAGATGTGACGATACTACCTTTGCCAGCTCACGGAGCTCATGAGGCTATATAAACTCAGCAAACGTTCCAGCTCGAGCCTCACTCGCTCGTCACCCACGGCCGACTAAGCCCGTTTCACTAAGCGTGTTTTGTGTACTTGTTGTCACCTGGGCGGTCATCACTAGGAGAGGCCCAATATTACTTCCTGGACCTTGACCATGCATGGGCATTGATGCCATTGGTATCGGGCAGACTTGAACGACATGGTGTGCGAGATGCCTACGCCAGTTATGGACGAGATGCTGCCTGCCCTCTACAAGTACTCAAAGTTAATTGCTCGATGGAAGACAGCACGTGCATACTATGCCGTAATTTTGAAGAACGAGAAACGCAAATCTTGCAAAAGAGATGCAAAAAAATGATATGCTGGCGCAGGACACAAAGCCTGATGAACGGGAAATCAACTCGGAAATTGCGAGTGCGGCGTCAATTCTCGAATTCTCGACGAGCCAAGGATATACTTAGATGTCCCCATCAAGAGCATACCAAAAATACCCTGTTGGTAGGATTGAACATGTTGTTGTTTTTTCTGAGAGAAATTCGAAGTGTTGATACACGATGTATGTAAAAGCGCTTATCAACAGTTCATCAGTCTTTTGCAGCTGTCCCTGATGAGTCGTGACAAGCTTGAAGACTTGATACTTGATCAAGTCTGATTTCTTGTACCAAAAGCTAATGATTCTCTTCACTCAAATTTACCTACTTCATGAGTCTGGGTTCTGAATCAGGCTAGCAGACTCATTAAGTTCTTCATCTCTTAAGAATTGACTCTTCATACCTCTTCACTTGAGAACCAATTGCACATATAAACCTCGAAGAAAATTTATCTATTGCTTTTTTCCAAATATCAATCACTTAAAAACAAACAACTCGCATTAGAAAAAAAACTAAAAAAAACCTAAACAGTTACACAAATTGAAAAAAAATAGAATGATATCTCAAGTTCAGTTGAATGAACCAATTTTTTTTCCAACTCCTTTTATTTTATTTTGCTTTTCTTTTACTTTTCTTTTACTTTTCTTTTACTTTCATCATCATCATCATCATCATGATAATCCCACAATTTTTCCAGTCTTTAAATCAATATCTTGTTCAAAGAATCCTGGTCTAGTACTCAAACCTGGCATCGTTTGCCTATTGGAATCAAATCAAATCAAATCATTGATATACCGTCAACTTCAACGGCTTGGGTTTTTGTAAAAAACAAAACTACTTACATATCACCCACAATAGGGTATAAGAATCCAGCACCAGCGGACATCTTGATCGTCCTGATCGGAATCACAAATCCTGCAATACCCAACCCCCCGAAAAAGTTTTTATGATTTAATAACGACAAACTGAAAATTAAATCTAGAGTATAGACAAAAAATGAAAAAAGTACTAAAATCACTCACCCTCTGGTCTTCCTTTCCTCTTAGGATCATGACTCAACGACAAATGTGTCTTAGCCATACAGATCGGGAATCCACCAAACCCTTGTTTCTCATAACTCTCAATCTGCTTCTCAGCTTCCTCTGAATATGATACACCAGAAGCACCGTACATCTTCTTAGCGATCGTTTCAATCTTAGCCTTCAATGGTTGATCAAGTTCATAAAGGAATTTGAAGTTTGCGTTTGATTCTCCTTCACATGCTTTGATCAAGGCTTTAGCTAAATCAATCGCTCCTTCTCCTCCTTCAGCCCAAAGATTACAAGCAACGGCTGCGTCAGCCCCAGCTGCAATCGCTAGTTTTTCTACTAACGCGATCTCTGCTGGTGTGTCGGCACTATGAGAAAAAAGACCAATGAGAAATTTAAAGGGGCAGAATCGCCTTGCTTAGAAACTACTCACGTAAATCGATTAACGGCCACAACTACATTAATGCCCATAGACCTGGCATTCTCAATATGCTTAGCCAAGTTTTCACATCCCTTTTCGAGAAGTTCAAGATTCTCCTCCAAATAGACATCCGCTAATGGTTTACCAGGTGTTACTTCTGGACCTCCACCGTGCATCTTCAAGGCTCTGATAGTGGCCACTAAGACAACTGCATTAGGTCGAAGGCCTGATACTCTGCATTTGATGTTACAGAACTTTTCCATTCTAAAACACGCATGTCAAAGTAGAAAGAGTCAATAATGATCCGACGTTCAAGAAGTAAAGAAATCCAAACAAACCCAATATCGGCACCGAAACCAGCTTCAGTGATCACGTATCCATATCGATCTTCAGGTTCACCCGGTTCAATACCAGCCAACTTCAACGCAATTTTATCTGCCAAGATCGAAGAGTTTCCATGGGCGATGTTTGCAAATGGACCGGCATGAACAAAGACAGGTGTGCCCTTTGATTTGATCAACCAAGTAAGCATAAATCCGAATGATCAAGATCCATACATAATAATTCCTCACCTCAAGGGTTTGCATCATGTTAGGCTTGATCGCATCTTTCATTAAGACGGCCATCGCACCGGCGCATCCGATATCATCAGCTGTGATCGGCACTCCGGATTTGCTATCAGCAACTACCATTCGTCCTAGCCTTTTGGCCACAACGAGAGGGGATTAGATTGTGAGTGTCAGGTGTCGGTATGCATCAAATACAATCGCCCAATCAGAACGTACCTTTCGCGCATATCAGCGAGATCATTACTGAGGGCAAGTACAGCCATACACTCGCTGGCAACTGCAATGTCGTAGCCTGTCTTGAGCTCTCGACCCTGCTCTGCGGGTCCTTGACCGATCGTGATTTGTCTCAAGAATCGATCATTGGTATCAACGACACGGTGCCTGATAGACATGGAGACATATGATAGTCAATCTCATATCTATCTCAAGCTCGACTTAGAGGGACTTACCAAGTGATTTTTTCAGGATCGATATCAAGTCGAACAAACTTGGAACGTTCTTCGTCAGTTAACTCGTCAGGTGTTTTGGAGGTATCGATTCCCAACTTTGCCAAGCGTCTCAACATGATCGGCGCAAATCTTCTTTTGCCCTTGATTGCAGGACACAATCGATTAAAAAGAGCTGTGTCTGATTGAGTTGACTCGTGAAAGTATCGTGCATCGATAGCAGCAGCTTTGATCAATGAGCAAAAATATCAGAAAATTTCGTGATGTACATGGAGAAGTAAACAAATGAAGCCTTACCAAGAAGATTGTTAGCAGCTGTTGTAGCGTGGATGTCACCTGTCAAATGAAGGTTGAATTCGTCCATAGGAATAACTTGACTGTACCCTCCACCCGCAGCTCCACCCTTAATCCCAAATGTGGGGCCTTGGGAAGGCTGACGGACAGTAGCAAAGCTCATTTTACCAAGATGTGCACCGAGGGCTTGAACGAGACCAATGGTAGTTGTCGACTTGCCTTCACCCAAAGGTGTAGGAGTGATTCTGTAACCAGGCAAAATTCACAGGTACATGAGTTTTGGTCATGCGGATTAGAATCAACGACAACCAACCCAGCGACAACCACATATTTGCCGTCCTTACGATGCGCAAGTCGATCCAAGAGGTTGAGGCTAATCTTGGCTTTGGAGTGACCATAAAGTTCCAATTCTGAGTCCAGGACACCGATCTCACTTGCCACATGGGCAATTGGTTTTGGTGTTTGAGCCATGGCGATTTCAATGTCACTAAAAAACGTCGCACGCAAGGTAAAAGAGGTCAATCGGGAAATACGCCTAGGGAGAAATAGAAGACTGCATACCTAGGAACCGGAGTCAACCTTTCCAACTTGAGAGGCTTGATACACCTCGAACGGGTTCGTTCAACTCTTCGTTGTGCGCTCAACAAAGTGTTCCCCATCAACATGGCTACAGTCATCGGACCAACACCGCCCGGAACGGGTGTGATCTGAGCAGCCACTGGAGCTGCTGAGTCAAAGTCAACATCTCCTACAAGCCTTTGTCCTGACTTTTTAGTAGAATCGGGGACAAAGTTGGTTCCCACGTCTACTACCACACATCCTTTCTTAAGCCATTCTCCTTTGACAAATTTGGCTTGTCCGATAGCCGAAACGACGATATCAGCTGTCTTAAGCTGGATACAGTAACAAATTGCGTGAACAAAGTGACAGAAACTGTAAGCGCAATGATTTACAAAAATTTACAATCGAGGTGCATAGACTGTTCGTAAAGATGATAAGAGCAAAGAAATCAAGCGAACTCACGATTTCGGGTAAGTTGGAAGTCCGACTGTGACACTGTGTGACAGTGGCGTCCTTTCGTCTAAGAAGAGCGCAAACTGGGCTTCCCACGATATCACTTCGACCAAGAACAACGGCATGTTTACCCGAGATCGAGATGCCAGTATGTTCGATCAAACGAATAACACCCGCCGGTGTACAGGGTGTAAAGAGAGGCTCTGAAGCTCTCGAACTGAGTAATCCGATATTATAAGCATGGAATCCGTCCACATCCTTGTCTGGGCTGACTAATTCGGTGATTCGGCGTTCCCCAGCTGATCCGATGTGAGGTGAGAGGGGAAGTTGAACGAGCAAACCATCAACGGATGGATCAGCGTTGAGACGAGTGATCTCTTTCGCCACCACTTCTTCGCTTGCTTCAGCAGGAATGATGATATGAAGGAATCGAATAGAGCATTCTTCCGCGGCTTTTTGTTTCATTCGAACATAGGTGGTTGAATCGGGTCTAGCTCCTTGTTGAATGACAACCAAGGTAGGCTTAAGAGACGAATCAGCAGCTATCTTGCTTGCAACTTGCTCTCGAAGCTGCCTAATGAAAGAATATCATGGTTAGTGATCGGTGATGATTCCGAATGGTAAAATTCAACTCCACTCACTTAGCAATTTGAGTTCCATCGATGATATTGTTAAGATTGGTAGTCATCTTGTTCTTGAGTGTTGTTGATGAAGTGCTTAATGATCTTGAGGATGGTAAAGGGTAAAGAGTCGATTGAGATGTATGCGTTAGAGTCGTTTGTTTGTAGTTTAATGAAAGCTTAGTAAGTTTGGTGATCGATCGAGTGGTTTGGTGACTTCGATTTGCTGTGAGTCGCAACAAGGATCGATGCATGGCAAGGTCAGCAGGATGTGTAAGAATGGCTTATTGACTCAAAGTTTTTTAAAAAAAATAAACTTCCGAGTTCTCTCACCTTGTATTCAGATATCAATCCGACTCGGCGGTCCTCGTCTCAGCTTTTTTTGGTCTTTATTAAGCTTAACAAAGCCCCTCACGAGCGCGTTCGCCGCGCCCTCGAAGAGGGGCTTAGATCGGACTCGGGATATTTGGCATGTGAGCTCCAAGAATTAGGTACCCTTAAGTTGTTTTTTTCAGTTCTCTACTCCATCTCACCGTAGAAAATGTTGGTGTTCAAGTATGTCATTCTTCATGAAATGCTACACAACATCATACGCTCAAAAGTTGTTATTTCCCAAAGCAAGTGCTTTCAAAATGTGATTCCAGTTTGATGACAAGTGTAGCTGTATGTTTCAGCCAAAAAGTCCGGAACATTTGTTTGGTTGCAAACTCCCAAATCCATGTCCAAAAGTCATGTCGGTTTTGTCTCTGGCAAAAACAGTAAAGGTCATTTCTGCTTAACTGCCAGACGCGGGCGTGTCCTACAGCACACGAAACATAAAGCAATGGAAATTTTTCATGGTAATGGCGTGCGTCAAAGATGCCATTGGAAAGGCCGGGTTTTCACTGCCAAAGAAAAATTTGGTCAAAGAAATTGTTTTACAAAATCCCTGCGCAACGTTCCCTACATATACAAATAAAAACATTATCGAGAAAAGATTACGAATGGCAGATGAACATACGAGGATTCGAGAACGTCCTTTCATCGAAACTTTCGCCAGAGAAGCATGTGCCGCAATGAAGAAACAGGGGATCACATTCAAAGAGGTAGTCAATGCTTTCCTGTCTTCAACAAACCCGGAACTGAAGGAGGCTCGAAGATATTGGGGTTCTGAGAGGGGTTTCCAATCTACATTGCAGATTATGTACTGGATAAAGCAACTGACGCAAAATAGTGATGAGGGAAAGGTGGAATGGAATGTGTTCATATTGAAAGAGGTGAATCCATGATTTCAATTTGCACATTTCAATTTGCACATTTTCAAATTCTACCTGACAATGATCTTGATAATAGGCTCAGCAGCAAATTAAAAAGGAAGTCTGGACAAAACCTCGAATGTTTTACAGTTCTCAAAAGATAACAACAAATTTCTTCAAGATTGAGGAGCTAGGAAAACGTGATGCTACCATAAGGGACTCGATGCCGTTCCTGTGGGATCTTATGTATAATCAACTATCCGCTAGGACCAATAACCAAGAGGAGCTCATGACCGGTGCAGCCCATGACGACATCATGTTAGATGGTGAAGCACCGACTAATGAAGAGTCGCTTTTGGATGATTCTCATGCTGGAGACGACGGTATGACTGAAACTTTGGCTGAGCAAGAGGCTCGGCATGACAAAGGGATTGAGTATGTACCTGAAGATAAACAAACAGCACAGATAAATCGGGCAAATCAGGTAAGTTTCCGTCTTGACACTCATTACCAGCACATCCTTTGTTGCTATTACACTGACGGGTTAGGTGTTATGTTACAATTTTAGGCGGCAACGACAATATGCGCCATGGTTTCTTTTCTATCCAACTATCGTGATAATTCCCTACAACTTCATAATTCTTTGACTTTCCTGGCTTGTGGGGTGTCATGCAGGATGTTTAAATATTTGAATAATATTGGTTTGAGCAGTTCTCGCCAAACTGCCGTAAAAGCAATGAATCACCTATGAACCACAAGGGAGGCTGCGCTCCGTGTGCTGATGTCCAGGTCTTATCAAATAAGTCCTATCATTTGCATGGACAACTTCGACATCTTGCAAAGGATTCACAACACTCGGGTTGAGGCTATGTCAAAACTCTTCCACGGAACGTGGGGTTATATTCAGTTCTTACCCGAATACCTGAAGCAGGATTTATGTAATGAAGATCACCTTTGAAACTACCACCGGGCCATGGAGGATTCCGTGAAGCGACCTGTTCATCTGGAATTATTCCGGTGGAAATCAAAGGACATGAACCAATGGAAAGCGACTTTGAAGAGCCAGCTAGCCACCGCTATGTACAAATACATCATCGACCCAGGAAAAGGTCCTTCAACTCGCCTCGCTAAAACGCCGCCAGCAATTGATCCAATACCTGTAGATGATCGTCACTTATTCCTATTAAGCTTGATGGATGCGGCGGATAACTCGGCAAATGGTGTTGGTCAGGTTTTCGAGGAAATAGCTAAACAGTGTGGCCTGACTCGACAAGAAATGGCAAAATTGGTTCAAATATTTGAAGGTGACCTCAGAACCTGTCAAAATATCGAGAGTCTTCGCAAGAAGAGAGCTCCGGCTGGAACTGTGGTAGGTGCTCTGTCAAGCGTGCTGACGATCCCAGGTGTGGCCCACATCACGTGGAACATCGCTCAGGGGATCTTAAGTCATCATTGGGGCAATAGTCGTGATGCCAATGACACTGGCGCTTGGAAAGCATGGCAGTCCATCGGTGGTTCACTATGTAAACCACCTTCCAAGATGGATTTTGGAACAGTATTGCGAGCGGTTCACTGTATCCACATGGGTACATTAGTTTCCTGTTTGAGGTCAGTCAGGTTGTGAAATCTACGGTTTTGAAAATTTATTGATTAAGATTGTTCCTTTTACTCTTTGAAGGAACACACTTTCTGAATACGAGACCAACCCCGACCTTTCGTAGGAAGGGGTTGCTCAGGCAGTAATTGACAAATGTTACGACAGTTTTTGTAGTCCTGAATCTTTAAGATCGAGCCTTTCCAAGAATGACATAAAAGGATATAATTTGCGACTAAGAATTTGCGACTTTGCCACAGTTGTTGAAGCGGACAGTGCCACGAGTGCAGGTGACGTTGGGCGCCTAAAGTTCATATGGAAGCAGTGGGCTTTAATGGCTCATGGTATGAGAGGTCTCTCTCGTTATGCTTTACACCTAACTCGATTCCTTGTCCTTGTGGAACAAGACTTACCACCTCCGTTGGCCAAGGTGGTCATGCACAGCATGTTGATACCCTCTGGACGGCGGCCAGGACATTTTGTGGGTAACGATCTTTGGCTTGAGCACCAAAATTATTGGCTCAAACATTTTTTTAATCAAAATGTGAGTGAAAATCTCAGTTTCATTCATTAATATGTTATAATATGTTATTTGCTGATTGAGTTTTTAACTGGTTCAGACCAATGGCACCGATGTAGAAAAATTAATTGCAATGTCAATTAATATACCTTTGGTATGTTACAGTGTTATAAACGTCAAATGATCACTCGCTACATACTCAATTTTGTTAATAAATATTTGTATGTAGCTCAGATTGTTAGTACAGCAGCTAAATCTGCGCTGCGGGCTCAAACCAATTCATTGTAGCCACACACACAACATCACATCTCAAACACTGGCCAATTTCGTGCGATCGTGGAACCATCAATATGTGACTGGAAAGACTTCAATCGCTAAGGACCTGTTCATTGATACCATCATAGAAGGAACAAACTTATTACAACAAAATCTCACACAAGATTTAAAAGCTAAGATTTCACGTTATCGATGGGGAGGTCTGGGAAATTTTGCTGGTCCAGTTTACAACGAAGTGGAGCCAGTGGTGTGAATCGAAATCTTATCCCTTCTTGGCTTTCTTTCCACCTCTCGCAGGCTTAGCAGGAGGTTTCCGTTTGTTGGTAACTTTCAAAGAGTTTAGTTTGGGTAATGGAAGAGGATTTTGTTCGGGTAATGGAAGAGGCTTTTGAGAATAAGAAGAGAATTGATCTTTAAATAGTTAATCTCACTAGACAAAGTCATAGAGACTCGACATACCAAATTGGTTTGTCCTGGTCTGACCTGGGTCCTTATGGCCGCGCGAGCGTCTTTCGCTTCCTGAATGGTCTGTTGGTGTGCGAGCAATTGCACTTGCGCCTGGCTGTGAACTCGTAATTCCTCTTCAGTTGGGTTCAGAATAGCAAACACATCCCTCCTGTTACTCCTCCACGCTTTGATTTCAAATAAGATTCCATCGTATGATGTAGGTAGAGGCTCACTTCCGAAGAGAAGGTCTAATGATTCCCCTTCGAGGAACAGTGCATAATTTACACATACACTCCATAACTTGTCCGCTGGAAAGAGATCGTGAGGTGTGTAAAAACTTGATTCTGGATACTCCAGTTCGAATATAGACTTCATTTTGTTGGTGATTTTTAAGTTCAATCGGATTAATCGTAGGTCCACGCGTAAAGGATCTTCAGGTCCGCTTGACCTTAAAGTGGGTAATGAGGCTTCATTATCAAGTTCTTCGTATTGATCTTCAAGTGAAGGATATGAATCGGGGGGAACATCTCGCAGAACTATGTCAGTGAAGTTGGAGACGGTGATTGTGGGCTGCTGAGCGAGAAAGTAGTCGGCGGCCTTGGGGTTGCAGTTTGAGCAGAGACAGGATGGCATACCGGCGTCCTTCTGGCGCTGGATTTTGTTAATTACAGATTGACAAGTTTCTGATAACGGAACGTAACCACACCTGAAATGTGAAACATGAGTTAGCGTTAGCTCGCGTGAACAGACCTGCATGAACTAATCTAACCACATATCGGAGTAGAACAGCAAACGCCACCCGCAGGCAGACTTTGGTGATGGTCATTGCGTTCATCCTGTGGTCATCGTTTTGATGGAGGGGATCATTTAAACTTGTCACAGAAGTCTCGTCTTCAATAGATAGAGGTTGTACCAATAGGATTGCTACCGCCGGTCGCCCATCTCGACCACCACGTCCAGCCATTTGCAGAACTTCCATTGGATCAGTCTGGCCGGCGATGATTACCCTTCGCACCCGTTTCCAATTTTGGCCTAAGCCAAGGGCATTCGTGCAAGTCATTACATTGAATTGTCCAGTCATGAAGCCATGCGCGTTGGAAACCTTGTCGTCAGGGTCGGTGTCAGCGTGAAATCGGCATACCGAGTTGCTGGAACCATTTCGTGTTTCTTCTTCATTGCGACGGGCTGAGTTGATTGATTCTAACGCTACATATGTTTCATTCTGAGTGTGACAGTAGACGAGTGTAGGGACTAAATCAGAGTCGGAGACAGAGCTTTTGGATCCGAAGTACCTCTTTACACTACACGAAATATAATATTTTCTGGGCAGAAAATTAAATTATTGATACACAAAAATATTGAGAGGCCAGGAGAAGGGAAAAAAATGAATAAAAATATGCATCTTGTTCCCTGCGGTGAGAGCTTCACTCTCCATATTTGTCCATATTTTTACAGTCCGTATTGATAAGTGTACTAACAATAAACCTTCATAATCATCCAATTACAACCTGTAACAAGCACTGAAATTTGGCACATTAGTGTTTAGAGAAACTTTTGATTTCTGAAAACACCTATAACTTTGTCAAATCTGCCTCAAAACACTCGATTTTAAGTGCATTAGAAAGCTGAACTCTTCCTCCCGAACTTTCATAAGATCAAGAACTATGTAGCTAGTATGACAATCATTCTATGGATCTGTATGTACAAATGTATAAAAAAGATGATATCTCTCTTAGCAGACCAGCATGCTGTGTGGTCATATTATGAACTATTTGGAGGATAATTCCAGCTTACCAATGCACCCAAAATCGAGCGTTTTGGACCGGAATTGAAAAATTTATGAGTATTTTCAGAAATCAAAAGTTTCTCTAAACACTAATGAGCCAAATTTCAGTGCTTGTTACAGGTTGTAATTGGATGATTGTGAAGGTTTATTGTTAGTACACTTATCAACATGGACTGTAAAAATACGGAAAAATATGCAGAGTGAAGTTCTCAACGCAGGGAACAAGATGCATATTTTTATCCATTTTTTGCTCTCCTCCTGGCCTCTCAATATTTTTGTGTATCAATAATTTAATTTTCTGCCCAGAAAATATTATCTTTCTTGTAGTGTTAGCGTGTTCCAAGGCTTTTGCATACGAGGTAGAGTGACACGAATAAAGCGTATTTCTGGTTGGGTCAGCTCGCCTACATGAATATCAATAGAGTCTTTGGTGATTTTTAGACTAGCTAGTATCTTCTCGAAATGCTGAGGTAGACAGGTTGCCGACATTAAGAGGGTAGGAACCGACTCGGTGGCTAGAAACCGTTCAATTAAGTTACCATACAAAGGACGGAAGGCAGTGCGATCTTGATGGATGTTGTGTGACACAAGACCCTTCATTTCACCACTCAGAACCAGACCCCAACTGTAAATCAAGTGCGCCTCATCTACCACTTTGAGAAGGAGCCTCTCCTGGAATCGTTTTGAGAAGAACATTCTCTCAAATCACGGGTTGTTCAAAAAGATTTCTGGAGACTATCCCAGATGACGTGATCAGAAATGTAAGCCTGACAATACCAAATATCATGATGATCAAACTCTTTATCATAAACTTACAACATAAATGAACTGATATTTCCCAGCCATGATGTCGGTAAAAGCCTCTAGATCAAAGGTAGCTCTTGTCAGATTAATAGCGGTTAGGCCCTTGCTTTTCTTTTCTTCCACCTACGGCGAGTGAAATTTCATGTTAGTATGTTAGTATCTGATGTCACTGACCCGTTCTGTTCATAGCTTACTTGATTGTTTCCCAGCGCATCCAATGGGTTCAAAGTCAATACAATACCCTTGGATGTTTTTGGAAACATCAAATAATATAATTCAGGAATAAGGGATTTTCCATATCCAGTACTTGCAAGAAGAAATGTATCTCGACCTCAACATAGGCTCATGACCGACTTGACTTGTAGCTCTCGGGGATCCAAATTGAAAACAGAGCGACATAAATTTCTGATGACTTCACTTTGCTCTTCGTCGTCATCCTTTAGTAAGGACTTGGCGATAGAAGGGCGATGGGATTCAATTGTCGGTCGAGTGGCCAATGAGAGCTTTCTCATTTGAGGCAAAGGCGAAGCTGAGACATCGCGAGACGGGGTATGAAGTTGAGAGGCCAAAGACCGAGTGTGAGGTCAACTGAGTGAGCCTACTGGGCGTGATTGAGGTGAACGTAAAACCGGGTGACCGCGAGGCGGAGTGATCACGGTCCTGATTGACGCAAAAGTTGGCGATAAGATAAGGTGATCAAGAGAGTTGCAAGCATATGTTTGGCACGCGTGGTGCTACCTACTTGAGGAACTTACGTAGTACGTCTCAGGGTTTTGGTTGTGGGACATAACAGTTTTAAATGCTGCACATAATGGTTTCAACTTTTCTCCGTTTTGGCTCAGCCTCGAAACCTCCAAACCTCGTGGACTGACTGTACAGGCATCCTTAACCTGTTACAGAAGGACATAACGATCCCTTCTGGCAAACTCTCCCAAAATGCTCAAACACTCGAGTTCCTGATGAAAGTAGTATGATGTTGTGTAGCATTTCATGAAGAATGACATACTTGAACACCAACATTTTCTACGGTGAGATGGAGTAGAGAACTGAAAAAAACAACTTAAGGGTACCTAATTCTTGGAGCTCACATGCCAAATATCCCGAGTCCGATCTAAGCCCCTCTTCGAGGGCGCGGCGAACGCGCTCGTGAGGGGCTTTGTTAAGCTTAGGTCTTTATCAACTTTTTCGTCTTAGGTCTCACTCATCTTGGAGGTATTGAGCTGTATTCGGCAAATATTCGGAAGTCTGCTGTTGAGTAGCACCTAGTAGCACACTTGGGAAAACCTTTCTTTCTGGATACAATCCTTCTACTTCATTCCAACAGCCTGTTTGCATCAACGTCCTGAAGTTCTGGCAAACTTAACTCTGACAAAACTAAAGCACAATGTGTCCAACACGACTGACAGTGCTATCATAAACCTGTTTGAGATAAAATATATGAATCTCCTGGTACTCATCAATGGGCATCCAGTGGTTGTCCCTATCTGTGGAAGGAATGAGGCTTGAGTGCTTAATGACATGGGCTAGAGGCACCAGAAGGTCCTCTTCTAAAAGGAACACCATACAAGGAATATGTTGTCCATAGTGTGACAGACTGGTGACCCCCTGGGTCATAATGGACCAGCACTTCCACATGGCCGTTAGACAGCCTATGTCTCCGGCACAAGTGGTCTCATGCAAATCCACAATGGTACCAAAGTCTCTCAAGCAAATCATGAGGTTGTACAATTTGGACTTTTTCAAACAGCGGGCTTCTTCAATAGCCATAGCTTTGAAATAACAGCACCAAACCGTCTCAAGAACTTGTCTGCAGCCCCATGTGGTGGTCATATCCATGTCACCTAATGACTCAATCACTTCACTGTGACAGTATAGATACAAACATGATAGCAATCAGGACTTGACTTTGCAACCATCATCAACTAGAAAAGAACACACCTAAGGAACAAACTAGATTTGCCTTATGCACTATTTGCATTGATCTCATAATAAAGTTGAACTCTTGGGATGCAAAAGACTTGGTATAATCACCTCCCAATTCAAATGAAGAACACCAGACAGCACTATCTTTGCTGTTGTCGGAATTCCCCCCGTGTAAGGCCCATATGCCCTTGCCAAAGCTCCATGTTGTGTGCACCACTCCACATATTGAGAGGACCCCTGAAAGATCTTCTACTCTGTCAATCGAGGGGCTGAGCTTCCCACACAGGCTTTCAACCAACAGATTTGATCCAACATCTCCTCCAGCAACTAGTATGTGCTTCACGTATTCTTCTTTAGACAGGTATATTTGAGACAAGATTAAATTAAAGACATGTGAGACCCCTTTGGCCAAAGAGTCTGGAACATCTATCATGCGCAAGAAATGAATGTTTGGAGTATGAAATTCTGACGGGTTTATTAGGGGCGGAATTAAATTTATGTCCAGCAGGTTTTGTTTCTTGGGTGCAATGGGAAGATGATCTAGGTCTTCTTTGAGAGCATTAGCCAGCTGGGCCTTGATTACCTTCTTGAAATGCTTTGTCTCTCCAGGACCTGGTGCAAAAAATTGATATCAACACCCTTCTGCTTGGCAGCCTTCATGGCAGTCAAAAATGCGGCCAGATTGACCACTTCCGCTTCACAGTTGGCCAAAAGACACGCGCAGACCACAATGTAAGAACACCATGTCCTCTGGAACATTTTTTATGAGGCGTCTATACAAGTATTGTGTATGCGCAAATGGATGTCTACATTATCAAAACACAAAAAAGGCATCATTTTGCAATGAAATTTAAAAACCTGCATACATAATTTGATTCTCCTGTAAGATACAGAGGGGATCCATTGCTTGAATTTTTTTATATCAAATCAATTCGATATCTCATCATATTCATCATTTTGCCTCTTCTTGGTTTCTCTTGGTAGTTGGATATGGTGGCTGGGGATAGTGGACCAAAGGAATGAATGGACGGTAAATATTAAGGATCCCACTATTTTCCGCCCTCAATTTAGTACTCGGAGCCCTCTATCCGGTCCGAGCAGGGGCTCCACGCGAATAATTGCCCCATCTCTCGAAAAAGGGGCGCCAGCAGGGGCGACACCTCTCTTGTCTTTTTTCGTAAAAAAAGTGATTTATTTTCTTTTTGAAGTCTCAGTCTAACTCATGCAATCAATTCCAAACTGCTCACTTGTGCAAAGGTGGCATGGCATAAACATAGGTTGAATTGGCATATAGCATAGGCATAGGAGCAAGCAGAAAGCAAAGATCATATAGCTTAGTACAACAAGCGAGAACTGTGTGGCATACATGATATAGACACAAGAAATAACAACAACAAGACTACTAACGAGCGTGAGATGAGAGATAACAACAAAAAGAAAAAAAGAAACGAGCGAAAACAGAAATGAGAAATAACAACAAAAAGTAAAAAGAAACAAGCAAAAAGGAAACCATTTCCATCTAAACATCTACATCAAGCACATCTCGACTAGCCCATAAATCCAATTGCACTTTGTACCTGCTCATCCAAGCGGGAATTTTGGTGGTAGTGATGGTAGGTGAGAGGGAGTGGTCGTATAAGCCGTATATCTCAGGGAATGGAAACATATTTGACCCACAACCCAAAGTAACAAAATGATCACCGTTGACAAAGCCTAGAATGATTGGTTCCTCCTTGTTAGGTGGAGTGTGAAACGGAAAAAACGTGTAACAGTTGGATTCCACAGGATTGAGTAGAATGACTGGGCATTCATATACGCTGGCAATTACGTAGCCTAAGTAAGGCATACGCATCCAATATTCTTCAGTACATTTGTAACCCTGTGGACTAAGACGTTTCAGCAAATCATCGACTATTTCGGTTGCATAAGGTGCAGTACGGCGAGTTTTCATTCCACAGGGCTTCATCCCAAAGATTGTTGATATTAGTTGCTCGTGAGTTTCTCGATGATTGACCAGCTCATCGCGTAAGTGGCTTCGAACTAAAATGTAAGAGTCCTTGTTGTAACATTTAAGTGCTTTCGCAATGGCGTAGTATCCACAATTGCCTTTGGCAGGTGGATTAAAGACCGACTTGATGTAAGGAACAATTATACGTGGCAGTTGCTTTAATACGTTTTGTTCAAAAGGCTTAACCAGCACATTGTATTGTAAGACACAAGATGAATTTTGAGATGTCGACACTGGAGGTTCGATCTTTGGCTTTTGAGGACTGCCTTTGACTTTGTCCACGCAATCTTGAATTGGAAACACTGCCGCACCAAATTCCCTGCTGGATTCTAAAGTAAGCTTGACGTGAGGATCACTCCTCTCCAAGTTGATATCTTCCGCTATTAAACAGAGAGCAAGCTCTGGGATAAGGACCTGGCGAAGGAAGTAGTCAGGAGTGAGAGGTGCTGATTGTTCCAAACCAAGGTGATGTTGGGAGGTTGGATTGTTGATAAATATTGACTCAAGGGTTCTAATGAAAATTTCATAGCCTTGATATCCATAACTGGGAGGAATTCGCATCAGTTATCAAGATGATGGTGAACTGGAAAATAAAAGCAACTCACTATCCAGGTTGCTCAACATCAAAGTCAAGTAGCTGCACAGCCATGCTGTGAGAACGGCTTCTCCCACCTTTGTTCTTCTTCACGGCCACCTCAAGGTCAGTAGATGGCACGACTCTGTGGATAATATTGCTCAAGATCGGAGCATACTTGTTGATACGGCTGTGGAAACAATGCCAACATCAAATTACTACTTGTTTGTTAAATGGAAGAGCTCGAACTCGGTATGAGGTACATACACATCTAAAACATCAAAATTGATGACAGTTGGCCATCCCTTGGCAATACCAAGAGGAATGATTTCACGTTTGGCGTGATGTAATTGACAGAAATCGCCTGTTTGGGCAAACTAAAGAGGATAATGTGCAAGTTAGACACAAATAAAGAGAACAAAAGTCTTGAGGACTCACAGGTAATGTCATAGCGCCTGCACGTCCAATACCTTTGTGTATGTTAGGCATGGCCAAAAGTGTCTTCTTAAGATTGGCCAGCTTAGTTGAAGGGTGCAAAGGCATCGGGTCATCGCAGAATGGGCAAAGGTCTTCATCATCAGCTTAATGCATATCATCACTTGAATCATCCATAGAATCATCGACGTCAACTAAATCTTCATGTTCAATTTCTGATTCGATTTCCATGGTGACAGGTTTTGAGCTGGATGAAGCAATTGCTGGTCTTGAGATTTGCAAAGTGAGATCGTCAAGCAATGGTAAATCTGAGTCAGAGCTGTCAGAACATGAACCTTTTTTGTTTTTACCGCGCTTGGTCTGAGTTAAGATTGTGTGAGTCGTACTCGATTGGGTTCCACGGTGAGGACATGTGGTTATTCGGTGAGAGGGAGACCTACAACCACTGCACTTGTTCACTCTTTTCTTTTTGAGGTCGTCAGCAATTTCCATCTTGGATTTCCATCGCCCTTGCAAACCTTCTTGAGATACGGCCGGGTGCTTTGAAGTGCTCGCACGGGGTCTGCCTTTGTTATTGGTCTTAACTTCGGCCTTCGTGATAGGGACCAAGGAATAGCGGTTGGTTTCCAGGAGGCCTACTTCGCCAAAAAGCTTGCGGAGGCCGTGTTTGGGCAGCTCCAACAGCTGAGCAAACTTGAGACGAGCAGCTTCAACCAGGGCATCGTGGGTTACTGGAGCAACTTCCATCACGAGGTGCCACTGAAGATGAATGGCGTCTGGCAAAAGATAATCGGTAGTATCGCGGGCCTCTGCAATTTCGTGAGAACATGGAAGGCCCCATGACCCTCGAAATGTGTGAGTACAAGGACGTTGAAGAGAGTCAGGCAAAAGGTCGTATTGAGACTTCAGCTTCTTGATTGCGAAATGAGAAATCGGACCGTGGAGTTCCTTGAAAAACGCCGGCATGCCCTGAACAGTCTTGGTCTTCTCGATACCTACCAAGATTGTAATTTCATTCATCTGATGGTCTTCATAACGTTTGAATGAATTAAAACACGAAAGAAAATCATTGTTTCGACCTTCAAGGAACCGCTTTGCTTGGTAATGGCTGCCTTCGACACGAGAGGTTGAAGAATTTCCAAAGTGAGGTGTTGCTGAAGTGAAAAGAGTGACAAACTTGTTTGTTCTATGAAGCCATGTACTTTGTAGGTAATCTAAGACATTATGAGCTCTGGCGGATGTTGTAACAGCTTCCAGATTGGTGTCATATTCAGCTGTGGTTGTGGATGCGACAAAGGTGTTCCAAAGCTTCATGAATTTGGTCCATTCGTTTTCTGTAAATTTAGACTTGCAATTCTTAGCTATGTTGATGTTGATGTGCCACACACAAAGTATGTGTGTGGCCTCAGGAAAGACTGTTTCAATGGCGTTGAAAAGAGCGGGTTCAGCGTCGGTAGCAAAGGTTTGAGGTAAAGTGTTTGTTGAAGTCTTGTCCTTGTCTTCATATATGACCTCCTTCAGTTGAGTCAACGCCCATTCATACTGGGAAGTGACTTCGCTATTGAGGAAGCACATGGCCACCGTGAAAGATCGGTTAGTATTGGTGGTACCCACTATATGTAATAACGGAAGGTTGAATCGATTCGTTTTGTAGGTACAATTGAGGCTGAGTACAGTGGAAAACCGTCGAGCTAAACGGATGGCGTTGGGACTGGCGAAGAACAGATTCTGAAGGGTACCGTCAGCTGAGGTGAGAGTGCGGTGAGCCCACTGGCTTTCGGTGATGAGATCAAATAGCCCTTGAATGGGCGAGCGGCCATTCAACCAAGTGTCACGAAAGGTCGCCCTGACATTGTGAATGTCTCGTACCAATGGCTGTGAACCAGGTTCGACGTCAATTAGTTGTTGAATTTGTTTAGCTCGACATCCGGCAGATGACAGAAATGATATTCTTTCACGCGTCTGAGGAGAGAAACGTTGGTAAAGGGAAAGGTTGTGCGGTTGTTCAAATGGTGGGTGGTTGTGATGTTTTTTTGCTACCTTCTTGCAATCATGAGTCACGACCCATGAGTCCGAGCGACGACTGAAGTTGAGAGAAACTATGAACAGGCATCCCGTCTTCTTTGTTGAAGAAGACCGTTTCGCAGCGACGGATTTGGCAGCACTTTTCGTTTTGAAACCAAGTGAGCATCCCAAATAGACTCGAATGGTGCGTTTTTGTTTGGTTTTGTGACTTTTGATAGCAAGACCGTAACCTTTGTGTCGAGCTACAGCATTCAGGTACATCAATCCGTTCTCCATCTCAATGAACGACTTTCCATAGATCGGGGGTCAAAGCGTACGAACTGGAATTGCACCTAAATGACAATGACAGTAAGTAAAAATTGTTAGTAATAGTTCGGATTTGATAAGATATGATATTAACTCACCAATAGGGGGCCAGTCCTTGTCGCGTTG